CAGGAAAGTATTATCCCCATATTAGAGACAGGGAACTGAGAAGGAGATTAAATTATTCTTCACATGTGTGTGTCACGGCATAAACCAAACTCCAAGGGAAATTTTTCTTATAGGATTATTCAATAAATGCCCACTTCAACCTATTTTGCATATTCCTTTGAAGTAGCAAGTCCTGTTGGGAGACAGGCACCAGCACAGATGGACCACCAGTTGGATCTGGTAAGCCAATTGCTCGCGTTCCTATCTGTGGCAGAGCTATGAACTGAATTTAGCTTTGGCCAATGACTTAACCACCAGGCAATTCTTCCACACGTGGCTCACTGATACTTAAAACTTGACTCCTTCTGAATCTATTAGATCATCTCAAGCAAGCTTTGCTGCAACCAGTGATTTGCACACCTGTGAGAGACATTTTTTTAAAAAAGATTCGTTATGACTGTCATTCAAGGTGATAATCAAGGAACTAAATTTGCTTTCTTTGTCTGCCTTCAGTGCCCTCAACTCCCACAAACAGACAACATGCTAAGAAGATTAGAGAGGCATTTCATAGTCATTATGCTGCAATGTCAGCTTTCAAAACCAAGCATTTTGAGCTAGAAGTTACAAGGGGGAGATTCATACCAGAGTATCATGCAGTTAAGAGCTTTATAACAAGCATAGAAAACACAATTAGACACTGTTGAGAAACGTCAGACATGCATAATGCTTACCCAGAGATTGCAAAATAGTTTACAAATGTTAAGCCTCACAATCCCACAGAGATGCCATACAAAATATTTTAATTGTGATGGAGCCAATTGCACTAGGTGCTCTACAAAGACAGAACAAAACGATGGTCCCTACTCCAAAAAGCTTACACCTAAGAATGGATGAATACTGCACCCCAGTATTTCTCTTTACTACAGAATTCCCTATTCTTTGAATGAGGAATACTGCAGAAAATTAACGACCCCATGCGCTAGATCTCCTGTTTTAAATGGTACTCACTGTATTTACGTTTTATATCACTTTTACAGATAGATAAGCTAAGGCACAAAAAAGTGAAATGATGCGATCAGGACCATGTATGCTGTGTTGTTGTAGCCAAGTCAGTCCCAGGCTATTAGACACCCCCAAGGTGGGTGAAGCAATATTTTTTTATTGGACCAACTTCTGTTTTACTAGACCCACTCTCTTGATCAAGTCCACACAGCAAGGAAGTGGAAGAGCTGGGAACAGGTAGGGTGACCAGATGTCCCGATTTTATAGGGACAGTCCTGATATTAGGGGCTTTTTCTTATATAGGCTCCTATTACCCCCCACCCTCTGTCCCGATTGTTCACACTTGCTGTCTGGTCACCCTAGGAACAGGACCCAAGAGACCTCCTCCCAGCTTCATGTCCTAAAAGAATGTTACTTTGCTTTGTTATAGGTCAATCGCAGGGAATTTGCCTCAGCTTATGTGAGTTCCAACAAAGCCCATCTCGGAAGGACACAGTTTCAGTGCTTTTGAAGATGCGAAACACTACGTAAGTATTTGCAAACACAGATGCATTTAGACACCTAAACAAATGGCCTGATTTTTAGGGATGGTCAGCACTCAACAATTCCTATTCCGTCTCAGGATCCTTATTTATTTGCCTAATCACAGGCCATGGAGGCTGGGAAGGAGGGCAGGGGGGCCATCCGGACCATGGCTTAACCACTTTTTGGCTGGGTCAAACTGTGTGGCACTGCAACCCTGCACACCAGCTCACACCACCACTTCTTCACATTTGGAAGGGGCGGATATAGGGGTCCATGGGCAGGGAAGTCAGGCGCATGGGGGGTGCAAATCTATAGCTCCTCACACATGCACTTTAAGTGGCATTCCAGAATCCCTATGGTTAAGTATGAGTTAGCTTCGACACCCAGTCTGAAAACAGTCCATCTCTACCAGTGCTATCTCTGCAGCGTCAGATGAGCCTCTGCAGAAATTAACTTTAAGAGCAGGTTACACTAGAATGGAATGAATGACTTATTCGGAGTCAACATACTAGAAAGCACTGGATTCGGTGTGCCCCCAAATCAGCAAACAGCAGCACACTTAGTACAAATATGTGCCTCCCGAGTCCCAGGGAACCCCACCCCCACCATTGCGCTTCTGTGGAGAGGAAGGGAAATCAATGTTATTTCTGGAGTCAGTTTTATTGTTTTCTCCTCCAACTTGCTGCAAGACTAGAATTACTTCCAGGGGTTGGATCCAGCGATAACATAGCTGAGTGTGAAGAGACATAGGATCCTCTGCTCCATGCTGACAAAATGCAATCAGGAACAAGTCACCTTTTAGGGTGCCGATTTATGCACCTAAGTTAACAAAAGTAAGATCTGATATTTGCTTTCTCGCACTGGAGACCCTCCTATTTCACCAGTGCTGCAACAGAGACACTAGGAGAGATGAAAGTGATTTGTCCCAAGATCACACACACTGTCAGTGGCAGAGCCAGACACGGGAGTCCCAAGTCCCAGTTCTCTGCTCTGCCTTCTATTCTACAGTCTCTCCAATAGATGGGAATAGAACCCAGGAGTCCAGACTCAGTCCTCTGCTCTAGCCATTAGACTACATGGCCTTTCAAGAGCTGGAGCAGAGCTCACTAGAAATCTTGCTTCACAAGCCTCTGCTCTAACCACTAAACCACATGTTGCCACGTGAAAGAAACTAGGGGTCAGATCCTGAACTGGTGTAAACTGTCCTAGCTCCACTGGACAATTTATACCAAGTGAGGATCTGCCCACAAGTAACCTGGTCAAAGAGCAAATCCTTGGCTCCCAGGGATCAAACCCCAAAGCCAGCCCATAGCCTCTAAACCTATTTCAATAATTTTAAACATTCAATTCTCTTTAGTGTTTTCCACAGGGAGCACGAGGAGGTGGAGGATTTTAGACTCAGCGTCCTGTAACGCATACAAATATTCCTTCAGTCGATAAATACTGGTTTTCTAAATACATCCTCTAGCTGCAAAATTCACCGAGTGTACATGTTCTCTGCGAAGGAAAGTCAAACCACAAATATTCGGGTCACACAGCAGAAAGCCCATTGTGGATACAAGGCTCCCCCAGCACAGGTTACGAACACCTACATAACCAAGGGCCTGAAAGAACATTTCACATCCACTGGGACAAAACAAACAACTCCTCCTTCACACACTTAAATCCGCAAAGACTGGAAACCAAGGCATTTTTACTGCTATGAAATACTCATATTTAATAAGTATTTCAAGATAACTGACTCTGCAGACATATTGATCTTTACGTATTTTTAATTTATCTTACAGCTGAACACAATTAGGGGGAAAAAATCACAAGCAGCCAGAGGCACCGCAGAACCCACCTGAAGAATTACAATGCGCTGGGGGAAATTCAGTTCAAAAATCTCAATGGGTCAAGGACAAGCTATAAAGGAGGCTCAATTAACACTGGAGACATGGCCTAGTAGTTTAGGGCCAAATTTTAAGTTGTGCCCCCCTCCCCAAAAATCAGACTCAATATAATAAAGATAAAAATGTTTCTATTCAGAGATTTTGTTGGGAGTTGTATTTAAATACCTCACTACATAGGACCAGTGCAAGTGACCAGAAACCAATGACAGTCCAGTACCATTATCCAAGTGATGTGAAATGAGAAGTAAAATCAGCCCCACCTCCAGAAAGTGGCTCCCTCTGCACTCGCTCCTTCATGTAGGGGACTGGGGGGGACTGAAACCCTATTCTGGAAACATACAGGTGGGGAAGAATATCCTAGGTTCTCTCCAGAGAGGCTTTCCCTTCTCTACATGGAGTATGTGCTGGGAGAGATATCCTTCTCTCTGCCAAGGGTGTAATTCCCCTTATGCACCTTGACCTATGTTCTCTCCAGTCCCCGGGCGGGGAGTGGGGGTGTCCTTCTCTCTGCCAAGGGTGCAATTCCCCTTATGCACCTTGACCTATGTTCTCTCCAGTCCCAGAGGGGTAGGATCCCCCTATGTGGGCAGGGGTCACCAGTCTCTCTGTGGGGAGAGGGGAGATTCTCCCAGAGAAGGGTCTCTGTCCTGGTTGAGGCATATTCCCATTCCCAAGGAAGGCATTAACCCTCTCCCCTACAGCAATATGCTCAAGCCCCCCCCCACGCCTCCCAGGATGCAGACCCCTTTGCACACCACAGAAATCTCTCTGAGCCCTTCTGCTGTCCCCCAGCCACCCCTCCCCAGAGCCCTACTCCATATCCGTATCCTGTAGTCTCCCCACCCCTGCACACACTTCCAGGGTACTCCATGTACACTCCCGGGGGGTCCCCTCCCCTGCTGGTCTCCCATAGAGCAGTTTCTCAGAAAGGTCACCTCTCCCCATCTGCCATCAGGCAGTCCCCCCATGCTCCCGACTTGTGCACTCCAGCCTATATGCCTAGAGATCTCAGGGCCACAACTCTACCCCCCCCAAAGGATCCCCATTTAAATGCCCCCCAAGATGGCACCCCTCCCTTGCCAGGGCCCCACTCCTCCAAGGCGTAAGGGGTTTTGATGGGGGAGATCATCCTCCACCAGGTCACCCACAGTCCCAGCTCCAGTATGTAATCTCCCCACCCCCTGCCCCAACACATCTCTCTGAGCTCAGCTCCATTGAGGCTGGTTCTCCTTCAGGTGAGAGGTCCCCTCCCCCTTCAGGGACCCAGTCCATAGGTGCTGGGGGCGCTACTGCACCCCCGGGCTGGAGGATGCAGCTTCCATCAGACACAAGTTCAATGGGTCTCGGCACCGCCACAATACACATTGTCCCAGTCCCCCTGGCCCAGTCCCGCCCCCAAGCACTCGCATCCCCAATACGCGGCCCCTCTGGGCGGTGGGGAGAGGTCCCCCTCCATCCCTCCCCCATCCCTCTGTGCGGAGGGGGGCCCCTCCCCCATCTCCCGCTGCCCCGCCCCCCGGGGTCACTCTGAGGGGGGGAGGGTCCCCCCCCCCGGCTCGCTCGCCCACTCTCTCTCTCTCCGCCCGGCCCCCCCGTACTCACACCTCCAGGATGCGGTCCCCCTTGCGCACCCCGGCGCGGTCGGCCGCCCCCCCGCCCAGCACGGCGCTGACATGCTGCAGCGGCGCGTACAGCTCCCCGTTGATGCTCCGCAGCTGGCCGCCCTCGCTCACTTGGCCCCGCACGTTGAAGCCGTAGCCGGACTCCGACTTGACGATGCGGACGACGCGGCCCCCGCCCGGCCCGCCCCCCCGTTGCGGTGCGGAGCCGGCGCCGAGCGCTGCAGCCCTTCACCCTCCTCGTCCGCCATCTTGGCGAGCAGTTCGCGGCCGTCGCCGTCACGCGATCCCCTCACCGGCCACCGTAGCCAGGCCGCCGGATTGCTAAGGGAGATGTAGTTCACTGGCTCTGGGGGGCGCACAGCACCATGGGAAATGTAGTTTAGGGTCTCTGAGGGGCCCACGGCACCACGGGAAATGTAGTTTAAGGGGGGGGCTGAGGGGCGCATGGCACCATGGGAAATGTAGTCCAGGGTCTCTGAGGGGCGCACAGCACTATCGGAAATGTAGTTCAAGGAGCCTAGGGGGCGCATGGCACCACGGGAAATGTAGTCTGGGGAGTCTGAGGGGCACACGACGTCATGGGAAAGATACTGGGGGGGGGGGAAATCCTGGTGATGCATGGCACTATGGGAAATGTAGTCCAGGAATATCGAGGGGCTTCACAGCACCAGGAGAAATGTAGTCAATGGAGCCTGGTGGGCCTTGTGGGAAATGTAGGCCGGGGATCCTGAGGGGTTCATAGCCCTATGGGACATTTATTCTGGGGAACTGAGGGCCCCATGGAAAATGTAGTCTGGCGAGCCTGGGGGCATATGGCACTATGGGACATGGAGTCTGGGGATGCCTGGGGAGCATGGCACCCTGGGGAAATGTAGTCTGGGGCCGTCTCAACCCCCCCAAGCCTCATGGGTGATATAGGCCCTATCACCCCACAGCTCCCCTCATGGGAAAGGTAGTTCAGCCATCTCCCACATGCAGAGGCTCATGGGAATTGTAGTTCCAGAAGCCCTGGTACTGCTTCATGGGAGATGTAGTTCATTAGGAGAACCCCAGCCACAGTGTGTGTGGGAAGAGGTGGGTGCTGGGGGTTGTAGTTTTGGTGACTGCCTGGGCCTGTCAGCCCTGACCTGAGCCCTCCCTGGGGCAGAGCGGGAGTCATCTCTGACCGCAACCTCTCACCACAGATGGCAGCTGTCACTCATTGCCATAGCAACTGTGAGACGTGAGACATCTCACCAAGCCACGCTGAGATGTCATTGCACCAAGATGTCATCACGTTTACTCTCATGACAGCCCATTGTGTTGGAATCCCATCACGTGTCATAACATCCCATCACGTCAAAAAACCACCATCACATCACATGAACCCCGGCTTCTGGCAATACATTACGATGTCATGGCTGCTGTGACAAAGTGCCATGGTATCACACGGCGAGGCTGACAACACATCGCGGTGTGACATTTCCCCCATCACACTGGGTTGCCATTGCTTTTTGAAATGTCATCACACCCCCCATGGCCAGGCCATCCCGGTGGGTGCACATCCAGTCTTCACTCTATGCCAGGGGTCGGCAACCTTTCAGAAGTGGTGTGCCGAGTCTTCATTTATTCACTCTAATTTAAGATTTTGCGTGCCAGTAATACATTTTAACCTTTTTAGAAGGTCTCTTTCTATAAGTCTATAATATATAACTAAACTATTGTTGTATGTAAAGTAAATAAGGTTTTTAAAATGTTTAAGAAGCTTCATTTAAAATTAAATTAAAATGCAGAGTCCCCCGGACCAGTGGCCAGGACCCAGGCAGCGTGAGTGCCACTGAAAATCAGCTCGCATTCCGCCTTCGGCACACTTGCCATAGGTTGCCTACCCCTACTCTACACCGTGTTGTGTCAGAAGGCTGTTACACCGTGTTCCAGCTCCCACAAGTTCCATCACAGCCCATTAATATTATGTATTATGTGTATTGCAGTAGCACCTAGGAGACCAGGTCATGGACCAGGACCCCATGGCGCTAGGCGCTGTACAAACACAGAATACAAAGATGATCCCTGCCCCAAAGAGCTTACAAACTACGTATGAGGCAAGAGATCCTCCTAGCTGGTGTGGCACCATAATCCTCCTAGCCCTTTGGAAAGGCCCCCTCCACATGAGGTGTCTGAGAAAGCTTCCAAAATATCTGCTGCTGCTTGGGCTCCATTTACTGGAGTGTACCCCATTCCAGCACGCCCATCATCCAGAAGGTGGAGGTGCCGTGCTGTTACATCATTGGTTGGGGAGAGTTTGTGACGTTGCAACGCTAGTCAATTCCTTTCACTCTGATATAGTCTCCTGCTACCAAGCAGGGCAGGGAACCCTACTCTTACCCCACCATAGATCCCACCCCAACAAAGGCCAGTTGCAGCTGAGCCCAAAGCGTTTAGCTCAGAAAGTCTGTTCCAGCAGGAGAAGCAGCGAGTTCTCATTGTTCAATAACAAGACAGAGAGAGAAACCCAAGGATACAGAAAAGTGGGTGTTGGCAACTGCTGTATTTACTGTCAACACATATGCACTAATATGGCTGAATCCCACTAATGTTTGCAAATGATGCCAGCTGCACCAGCCGGGGGAGAGCTTCCGAGGCTGCACCGTGTGGTGCATCTAGTAGGGGTCGTGGGCTACGCAGCATTAGACAGAACTCAAAATCTTCCTGCTCCAAAAGACCAGCCCCACTGCATGTGAGCTAACATAGAATTCTCTGGTTTGTCATATTCTCATCCCAACTCCAGGAAGGGAGCGGGGTCTAGTAGGACTCCTGGGTTCTGCTAACAGTCCAGGGAGGGGAAATGGTCTAGCGATTAAACGTAAGGGGCCTTGGAGCTGAGACTCCTACATTGTATTCCTGGCACTGCCACGAACTGTCCAATCTTGGGTGCGTCTCCTCATCAAACTGTGCCTCAGTCTCCCTGTTGGGGTATGTAAGGGTTAAGTAAAGACCTGGGCTCCGCTATCCTGGTAATAGGGAGTAAAGGCACAGGCACGTACTGTCTCTTCGCTTGATAGATAAAGTTGCCACCCCTTTCTCTTCCCTTCTGCTTGTTAAGGATAGATAAGCGTTGCAGCTGCATGAGAAATATGGTTGGCTGAAGGATACCCTTGTATGAAGAAGTGCTATCTCCCGCCTCCTTTCCTTTCCCAGCTACATAAATAAACCTGAGGTCATGGCCCCTTCCTCCCTCCCCTGTGAACTGCTGATTAGGGAAACTTGTGGCTAGTTACTGCAAAGAAATGTATCTTCAAGGTAAAAATGTCTGTATAATATACCCGCCCCGTTCACAGCATTAAGCATAATTATATTCAGTAAATAGCTCTTAATATTCATTATATGGGCACTCATATTATCAGATAAGGGTTTTGGGGGGGTATTATAGTAAATTTACGTATTAACTTAGATAAAAACAGTGTGATGTGACTCATTTGGGGCTTACTCGACAATTGGGTCGAGGGGAACAAGTACTGCCATAAAAAAGCCCGTTTACTCAATCCACCTCTGGGCGCTCCTGCTCATTCTTTCTGCCTCTAACACCCCCCAGCAGGGCTAACCATTTTGGCCAGGATACTAAAGCAAGCCCCCATTTTTACAAAAAGCCCCCTGGGATGTTGCAGTCTATAGGGGTTTATAAAAATATGCTAATGAGTGAATATAATGTAACTGGGATATGCTTCATGCAAAAGGTCTCTTGTAAGGTATCCTTACAAAGCTTCAAAAAGAACAGGAGTACTTGTGGCACCTTAGAGACTAACAAATTTATTAGAGCATAAGCTTATGCTCTAATAAAT